ATATATATATATATATATATATATATATATATATATATATATATATAGGCAAATAATAACATGAGATTATGTTTTGGACAGTTTACAATATAAATTCGTTATAGAGTGTTTTAGTTTTCATGGCTTTTGCATTGGTACAATACTTTAAAATAGACACATACGAAGAAAGATAAGTAGAAAAAACTATAAATCTAAGTTTTAGCATGGCAAAATTTACAGCTATGGATGTGAAATTTAGCTAATATTAGTATTAAATTTACAACCAAAACTTTCTTACTTGGAATATTCAAACAAACAAACAAAAAAAACCAGTATAGTTTTAGCATCAAATTGTAGGTCAATTTCTAACTTTCTATTCACAAACAAGAACATGTTTTTCCAGAACAGCTGAGTATTAGGACAGTCCCAGAACAGATGTTGATGTCTCCTCAGAGCTGTGGCACAGTGAACACATTGGCTCTACATTCGGACGGTACTTGGAGATTATACGATTGACAGGAGAGCATTCATGCAGAATCTTTAGGGACGCTTCTCGAATCTTATTAGTTATTTAATATTTTCTAGGCAACAACCAAACATTTTTCCAACAAATATCATTAAATGAATTATCCCAGAAGAATACAGAAGCAGGTTTACTGATACAGTCTCTAATTATTAATTCTCTAATACATTTGTTATTTGTTTTTTTTTTTTGTTAAAAATGGGTCAGAGTTGCCGATGAATAATTCTTCATTTAAATAGTTTGTGTTATTTTGTACAGAGTTTGACATCAGTATTTTCACACCAGATGGAACGGCGTCAAACACAATTACAAATTCTCTCGGCAGTACTGGAAAATTATATGTACTGTAGTTAAAAATTCACTTTAAGAGTAAGTGTTGCCCTCTTTGTTGAATAGTTGATGTACATGAGCGATGGCTCTGTCAAACCATTTTTTGAAAAAAATGGATTTGTGTTTAAAACATATGTCTTTGTTGTTCCAGATATAATATTTGTGTGGGGAGAAATTGTGTTTGTGAACCAAAGTCCAACATAAAAGCAGCTGCTTGTGGAAATTGGAGAGTTTGACCGGGATTTTCTCAATTCTATAGTTGCACCTTAAAATAAAAGATAAACCACCCAGTGCTTCAAATACGTGTGTCGAAATAAAGTTCCATAAAGAGTTTGGATTTAGGAGATCTCTTTTGATCCACTTGATTTTAAAGGAAGAGTTTAGAGTCTGTAAGTCTAGCACATTAAACCCACCAGAGCACAGATTATTTATCATTACATTTTTCCGGATTAGATGAACATTTTCTTCCAAATAAAATCAAATAAAGTTTTGTCCACTTTTGAAATGATATCCTTGGAAACCTCAAGGTCAGAAGTCACAGACACCAAACTGGAAAGACCTTCAGCCTTAGAGAGTAACACACAACCGGAGATGGATAAATCTCTCTGGACCCAAAAATTCAATTTCTTTTGGATTACAGTAACAAGAGGATTGAAGTTTTCACTTAATCTTTGGTCCTCTTCTTTTATAATATAATACCAAGATATTTAACTTTGTGTTTTACTGGAATTCCTGAGATTTCTGTGTCATGACAAGTTTTAATAGGAAGTAACTCACATTTAGATAAATTAAGATTGAGACCTGAAGCTGAAGAAAATTCACCAAGCAGCTCAACAGCACACTTTACTTGAGAGCAATC